TGCCCAGGCTAGAGTGCCATGGTACTAGCCTAGCTCACTACAACCTTGAACTCGTGGGTTCTAGTGATCTTCCTGCTTAGCCTCCTAAGTAGGTAGGACTACAGATACCCCCCATGAACCATGAAGCCCAGCTAATTTTTCTATTTTTAGTAGAGATGGGGGTCTCACTCTTACTCAGCTGGTCTTGAACTTCTAAGCTCAAGAAAAGATCCTTTTGCCTTGGCCTCCCAGAGTGCCAGGATTATAGGTGTGAGCACTGCACCCAGCTGAAATAAAGGGTTTTTTTAGTTTTGTGTGTTTGTTTTGGGTTTGGTTGTTGTTTTTTTGTTTTTTTGTTTGTTTGTTTTTTTGAGACAGAGTCTCACTAGATTGCTGCAGCATCATAGCTCAGAGCAACCTCAAGCTCTTGGGCTCAAGAGAGCGTCTTGCCTCAGTTTCCCCAGTAACTGGGACTACAGGCACCCACCACAACACTTGGCTAGTTTTTCTATTTTCAGTAGAGTTGGATTCTCACTCTTGGTCAAGCACATCGCGAACTCCTGAGCTCAAGAAATCCACCCACCTCAGCTTTTCAAAGTGTTAGGATGACAGTCGTGAGCCACTGCTCCCAGCTCAAAACAAGTTTACTAAGAAAGAGAAAGATAGGCTTACAGAGTATGAAAGTTTACAGAGCAGGATACATTTGCCATAGATAATGAATAACGGGGCCTCCATTGCCAGGCCAGGTAGGCGAAGAGACCTTTATTCTTTCTTTTCCCCCATTCTCTGCTTCCCTTCTGTCTCCCTGCCCTTGTCTTAGTCTCTCCCGTTGCCTCCACCCAGCATCTCCATCTCTCTGCCCTTTAGTCCCTCCCCTGTCTGCTCTGCGGCATCCTCCTCTCCTGCACATCCCTCTCCTCCCTCTCCCTGTCACTGTCCCCACCTCTTCCCCTTAGTCCCTCCTCTCTGGTGCTCCCCACCCCTCTCCTCACTCTCCTCTTATCTCTGCCCCCTATTCTTCTTCTCTGCCACCCTTCACCTTTATTTCTTCTCTCTCTGTGTCTTCAGTCCCACCCTCACCCCACTCCTAACTCTCCCTGGAGCAGCAGCCGGGACCTGGGGACAAAGACAAATTGAACATTCTTTGAGATGCTGCTATGAAGAAAAAGGAAATCAGGCCAGGCCCAGTGGCTCACCCCTGTCATCCCAGCACCCTGGGAGGCCGAGGGAGGAGGATCCTTTGAGGTCAGGAGTTCAAGATCAGCCTGAGCAAGAGCAAGACCCCATCGCTACTAAAAATAGAAAAACTAGCTGAGTGTTGTGGTGGGCGCCTATATTAGCCGGGCATCATGATGGGTGCCGATAGCTACTGGGAGGCTGAGGCAGAAGGGTCACTTGAACACAGGAGTTTGAGGTTGCTGTGAGCTGACACCATGGCACTTTAGCCTGGGCAACAGAATGAGAATCTGTCTTAAAAAAAAAACAAAAAACCCAAACAACAAAAACAAACATAGGTAAGAAAAAGGACATCAGTTACTCTAACTTCACAACAATTGTTGTAGGAGACAGTTCTCTAAAAACTTCATCCAATATGAAATGTTATAGACCTTGTAAATAGTCACAAAGAAGTCAAGGATTGGTAAATTGGAAAATTTGGAAAATGGGTCATTTGAACAATTGGCTTAAAGCCTATCTGCCTTAAGCCCATGAAAAGAATTCTGAAGGCGCTTCAGAGTCTGCAAGGTTCTTATCTACAATCAAGGTCTTATGACAGCCTCTTCCTAGGAAGTATTTATTTTAGTATTTAGGGCAGAACGCCTGGTTTCATCTGGATTTTGTGCAGCCACTGATACTTTCCTAATGGGCCAGGGCTGACTCATCTCTGCACCATAGTTCATTGCTGCTCATAAATTCAAAAATCAATTTCGATCATTCAGACAAGTATAGGAAGAGTAGGTTCATACCGTGGAAAGGAAATACGTTCTAGAAGCAGAATTTGGAGCAGTTCCTTAACCTCTCTGCGTTTCAGTTTTCCTATTTGTAAAAACAAGGCAATCTCCCCGTTGAGGCTGTAAAGGTTTACAACACAGGTGACAGAGGAAGGCACAGAGCCTGGCAAGCGTATATGCTCAGCATGATTTTAAAAGGCAGGTTCCTTCTCTGGGACTCTTATTATTATTAGGCAGAGTCTCTCTATGTTGCCCTCAGTAGAGTGCCATAATATCACAGCTCACAGCAACCTCAAACTTTTGAGCTTAAGTGATTCTCTTGCCTCAGCCTCCTAAGTGGCTGGGACTATAACACCCGGCTTTTTTTGGGTTGGAGTTATCATTGTTGTTTAGCAGGCCCAGGACAGGCTCAAACCCACCAGCCTCAGTGTTTGTGGCCAGCTGGCTCCCTACTCACTGAGCTACAGGAGCCAAACCAAGGGACTCTTACCTTTTAAAAAAACTTAATGCTGTTTCTGCTGAAAGTTAGCAAAACTATTTTTAAAAAAAATGTTGAGGGGAGCTGTTTAAGAAACTGAAAAGTTGTCCAGGTATGGTTGCTCACTCCTGTAATCACAACACTCTGGGAGGGCAAGGCAGGTGGATTTCTTGAGCTTAGGAGTTTGAGACCAGCTTGAGCAAGAGTGAGACCCTGTCTCTACTAAAAATAGAAAAACTGAGGCAAGAAGATGGCCCGAGCCCAAGAACTTGAGGTTGCTGTGAGCTATAATGCTATAGTACTCTAGTCATGGCGCCAGAGTTAGAGTCTGTCTCAAAAACAAAATAAAAAAACCCCCAAACTGAAAAGTAATTGCAAACTACGTCACCTAATTGTGACTTTCCATTGTTCTCTGTCAGTTGAATTTATGTGCTTTTTCCCCTGTATATGTGGCAGTCCTGTTCTTCTCCAAGAAAACTTTTATTTAAAAATGTATGAGTGGCCTCTGTGTACCAGGCACCATGCAAGCACTGTGGACACGGTACATAATAATTCACGGGCCTTGTTCCCTAGCCGCCCGTCATTTATATTTATTGGCCATTTCATGTTCTTGTCAGACTCAAATCCAGGTCTCTTTGACCCAAAATCAGAGCTCAGAATCACTTCTCTCGGGTAGTCACTTCAATTGTTCATCAAGATAAATAATGGGAACTTAGCCATTTGTCTGTGTGGAGTGGCCTTTTTAAGTGTTCTTTGGTCCTGAGAGGCCTGGGGAGCAGCTCTCTCATAGGTCTCTTAAGGAGGTCTGGACAATGGTTTCCGACCTGGAAATGGACCAACTGCAGTTTCTGAAACCAGGATAAAAGTCTCCCAGTTTTGAGCAAGAAGAACTTTTGGGAGTACGAAGCAAAGTGAGAATGAAGGTTTTTTTTTTTTCCATAAAAAAGTAAGTCCTTTTTAAAAGATATTTACAAATGTGACCAGAAACCAAAAAGAAACTCTGTATCAAATTTTGTAACATTTGATAGTATATTTCAACATGTCCTCTCCCTCTGAGAGACTCAAAAGGGTAGCAAGAAAGAAATCACATAACGTTATGGTTTCAAACATCATATTTTAGGCAAGTAAAAACATCTCATTTTAACAGATCATGCCAAGAGGAACACAAGACACAAAATGCCAGTGTGCACAGGCGCTCCCGTTTGCTACATGTATGATGGTTTAGCATCAAGTTTTAAAATATAAATCATAACCAGACCGCAACATAAGCACCCAAGTAAAACCGTACGTTCCTGTGTCTTCTCTAGTTTTTTACTTAACAGCTTGGCTATAGAAGAACATGACGACTTTTTGACAAACACAACAGAACTCACAGATAAAAATACACATTGTCCCTTCAAAGCATTACCTCTTGTCGCTGCAGAGGTATTCCACGTCAGCCGTTACTCCACTCAACAATTTTTTTTTTCCACTCAACATTTTGAGAATTGCTACCGCTCTTAGAAATAGTGTGTGTGTGTGTGTCTCATACATTCATATGCACACTTGACAGGGCACACTTTTTTTGCCTTTTGGAAAAAATACGCTACAATGACCTGGATCTCCATAGGGTTTTCAGTCTATTTCACATAACTAGGTGTGGGACCTTGGGCACCCCTTTCTCCTCATTGCACCTCAGTTTGCTCCTCTGCAAACTAAAGCTAGCAACACCACCTTCCTATCGTGGGGCGTTGTGGGGCTTAAATGAGACAAAGCTATTATAGCCTCAAAAAATATGACATTCTTCTCCCTATTCTTTCTTTTAGTTTTTCTCATTCCTTCCTCCTTCCCTCCCTCCCTCCCTTTCTGCCTTCCTTTCCCCTCCCTCCCTCCCTCCCTTCCCTTCCCTTCCCTTTCCTTCCTTCCCTTCCTTCCCTTCCTTTCTTCTTTCCACAGGATCTTGCTCTCTCTCCAAAGCTGGAGTACTGTAGCACAGTGATAGCTCACTGCAGCCTCCAACTCTTGGGCTTAAGTGATCCTCCTGCCTCGGCCTCACAAACTGCTAGGAATACAGGCCTGAGCCACTGCGCCTGGCCCTCTTCTGGTTTTTAATGTGCAAGCTTTCAGAAATATTTCTTTTCTCTCTCTCTCTCTTTTTCGAGAACAACTTTTATCACCATTTTTTTAATAGCCAAAGGAAATGTGGGGTTAAAAATGGTGGATATGCAAGCTGCATAATTTTCTATCAACGCTAAGACATGCATGAGAGAGAAATAATAAGGCAGAATTTCCAGGGTGGTCCAGATATTGGCTCTGCAGAAAGCTGTAAAAGAGGCTCAGGAAAGAGACGTTCTGAGAAGCGTCAGCCACAGGGGAATAGCAGTGGTGCCTCTCAAGGTGACCCAGGAAGGGGACGGAAACCATCTGCATAAGGAAGGTCTCTGCACAGTCATAAGCTCCATTCCAGGAAGGCTTACGAGTTCTTTTTAATTCTCCAGTGGAAGCCTACCCACGTGTCCCTTTTGTTCTGATTAAATTAAGTTAGAAAGCTTGAATTACAATGAGAGTCTTAGGCTCTCACAGTTCCTAAGGGGAAGGAGAGCTCCACCCAAGTCTGATCCTCTTGCAAAGATTGTCTGTTTTTTATTCAAAGTTCAATCTCTCTACCGACCACTGGCCATCCGCTGTTCTTCCAGTGGTGCCCAAGAACTTTCCAAACTACCCAGCCCCTAAGACTGTGGTTTTGACTCCAGAAAGCCCAAGTGCCTGCCAACACACAGGCCTTCCTGCTCCGTTGCCTCTCCGGACATCATTTTGTTGGATCCCCCTGGAGCCCCCTTTAGGAGCGAATGTGCAGAATTTTCTTGAATGTCTTCTTGAAGTTCTCGTTGCACAAGGGGTAGATGAGGGGGTTGAGTGTGGAGTTGATGTAGCCCAGCCAGATGGTGAACATGTGCACGTGCTCATTGCAGCAGTTCTCGCAGAAGGCAATGACCATGAAGAAGATGAAGTAAGGAATCCAGCAAAGGATGAAGGCTGCCATGATAAAGCCCAGTTGTTTGGCCGCCTTCCGTTCCCGGTTCAGCTGCAACCCAGACACATACTCTCTTGAATGTGCACGGAACCTCTTCCAAGTGAACTTGATGTAATCCAGGGCTGTGTTAGAACCACTTTTCAATTTGCCTTTTCTGGCTGCTGGCCCCGTGGGGGTGTCTGATTCTGTCTGGGAGAAGGACTGGCTATCCCCTAACACCAGGTCCTCTGATATCTTGCGGACCCCATGTGTGTCTAGGCCCTGCTCATCCATCTCAAGCTGCGTCTCGCTCTGCGTGACAGCCAGGTAACCCTCGCCATCTGCCTCTTCCACAATCTGCATTTGTGTGATGTCACCTTTGGCCACTTCTCCATCCTCCTCTTGACTGAAGGAAACTGGAGATTTCACCTCTTTAGAGTCTCGGCGTGGTGGCTTCAAGACAGGCCCACCGCCAGCATCTTTTAGCTTCATTTTCAGAACCTCCCAGGAAGACTCCTTCCCCGGTTTCTTGGCACCCACCTTGGGATTCTCTGGCCTCAGCTTAATTTCTGAGAAGGAAGGAAGGGACCCATTGATGAGCTCCCGGTGCTGACAATGCTGCCGGACGGCCTTGTAGATCTTGGCGTAGAACCAGAGCATGAGCAAGGTGGGCAGGTAGAAGTTGATGATGGCAGTCATGATCTTGAACCAGGTGACATCGTAGAAGTCTGTCTCACACTTGTCCTGCCGGCGTGCCGAAGTGTTGGACATGAAGCGATGCCAGCCCAGAATGGGAATAACCCACAGAAAGGAGAGAAACCAGGCCCCCAGGATGGTGGCTGATGCTCGGGTCTTGGTACGATACTTCAGGTACCTGAGGGGCTGCTGGACGGAGCGGTAGCGGTCGATGCATAGGATGAAGACGCTGAAAATGGACGCTGTGCTGGCCACGTAGTCCATGGAAAGCCAGAAGAGGCAGAGAGGCCGGCCCAGGGACCACCTGGACATGAGCAGGTAGAGGATGTTCATGGGCATGACGACGGCGCCCACGATGAGGTCTGCCACCGAGAGGCTGACGATGTACAGGTTGCCCACCGTGTGTAGCTTCCGCTCACTGTGCACAGCATACAGCACCAGCAGGTTGAGTCCCACCGTGACCAAGGAGATGGTGCTCAGGACCACCACCAGGGGCATCCACTGGGGGCTGGCCATGGTGGTCTTGTTCCCCTCACACATGTTGTCTTCGAAGATGCAGGACGAATTGGGAAGGGTCATTGGTGCAAGGGCAGCCTCCAATGTGGCTCACTTCCTGGGAGAAAAGACACAAGGGTTACGTCAGGGGTTTGGAGGTCAGTAGGCACTTAGTGTCATGTTTATCAAACTGGGGATGTATGCCGTCCAGGGCGCAAGAACCTGCTGGTTACCTACTCAACAGTCGTGTCTTCTTCCTCGTTCATTCATTCATTCAGTGGCTTTTACTGAGTTCCTGGCTCTGTTCTAGGTGTTGGGAATACAGCAGTGAGCAAGAGAGATAAAAATCTCTCCCCTCATCAAGCTTACATGCTTACAAGGGAGTTGGGTAAAACCCAGAGTAAATAAAGAATCTGCACGTGTTCTGGGAAGGAGGGCTACATCCTGATTGGTCTAACCTGAGTGTGGCAATCTAGTCCCTCTCCGCCAGTGGCTGGTCTAGAGCCTGTGAGACCCCTCTGTGGCTAAGGAATTGGACAAGGCAGTCTAACAGCAAGGTGGGGTTCTAGGAAAGTTCTTCCACTCTGATGAATGAGCAAAACAAGGAAAAGCATGGCTTCTCACTTGTCCACTTCTCCCTTGCAGGAAGCCGGGAGTGATATTTGAGGTCATGTTAGTCATCTCGGGACCATCAGGGAAAACCAGGAAAATTCCAACACAGAGCCCTGTTATTACTGATCCAACCCTGAAATCTTCTCCCAAACTCTATGGGAAAGAATTCAACGAGGGTTTTCATTCCCATGCTTATTGCACTGCTGTGGGAGATTTTACTTGCAGCTACAAGCATCCCTAAGTGATATGGAGGTCGGGGATTAACAAGAGAATATTCCAGGTGCATAAAGCATGGAATAATTCTGGCATGTCTTCTTAGAGGAATAATTATCAAATGAGAGGGTGGTTATGACACTTAAAAAAGCATATATATTATTTCACTTTTCTATTTGAAAAACAAATAATATTTTCTCATTACATAAACTATACCAAGTAATATAGTAACAAACCTTTGCATGTAAGGTTCTACCAAAAATACATTGTGTTCTCTTTTTTTGGTGGTACTCAAGTGGGTCGGTACTCAAGAGGTGGAATTATATACTGAAACTTCCAGAAGGGGTTGTTAGATGTTTATGTTCATCAAAAAGTGCTAGGAGTTTAAAGAAAACTGAGGAACACTAATATAGAGTGTAACTAACATTCTCTCAACAATTTAGCAAAAACACGTGTTTTATAAAAAGATAAAGCCAGATAAGTTCTTGAATAGAACGGTAAATTCATATACTTTTTAAAGGGAAAAATCAAGCCCCCAAGGTATTTATTTGATCTTGGTGAAGGAACCTTTTGTGTTTCTATGCAGGGGAGGGGGGCACCATTTGGGCAGTACTGATTTTGCCCCCGGCTCTGCTACTTATTTCTGAGTGATCGCTCAGCCTCTGTTTCTTGGTGTGTCAAACATGTAGGGTGGGGGAGACGCTCTCTAAAGACTTTTCCAGGTCTCCTTTTCAGAGCCTTCCTCGAGGTGTTTCTCCACGTCCTCCAGCTCTGAACACCAGTCAGTGCCGTCCCCTGGCTTCTGTGATTGCACCCTTCTGACTTCCTCAATCACATCACTTTCTCTTCTTATGAGCCAAAGTCCTGTGCTGTGCCCCATCTCACTCTGTGCTGCCTGACTCAGGGGTCTTCTCCACTCCCTCACCTCTATCTCAGCCATCATCTCTGTGAGGACAAACCCCAAACCTACAGCTTCTGCCTGTGTCTTTTTCTTTTCCTACCTGCAGTACCCAGCACCCGTATCCCCAGCCAAGTCCAAACCTGTAGAATTGTCCACAGGTGCCTCTAGAAGGAAGGAAGACACTCAGGAAATGTCATCTCAGGGATTTTTATTTTCTAAATGCTTCAGGTGGCATTCTGAAGGGACTTCTGACCTCCCCTCCCCCAGAGGTGTCCCTTTTCTCTTTTCCTCATTGCCTGGCACACAGAGGGGACATACATCATGTTTAAAATTATATATATACCACTTATCATATAACAATTATGTTTGACAGAAAATAATTTGTTTTTATATAAAAAATTTTTCTTTTTGTTTAAAAAATAGAAGCTGTGATTGAATGGACATTACTGAACTAAATTGGTGTAGCACAAGTGGGCAAGGGTGAAATCTACTAAAGTCTGCAACTTACTGTGAAATGAACTAAAAAAATAAGGTGACAGATAGTTGGTTAGGAGAATGAATGAATGAATAGATGATAAGTCCAAAAGAGCAAAATGTTAATTTATAATCTACGCAGTGGCCGTAGGGCACAATGATTCCAGCTTTCCCATTTTATTCATAATCTTCACAATAAATTGTTGGAGGAAAATAATGTACAAGTTTATCTTCCTCCCCCATATAAAGAATGCTCGATTCCCTATCACATTTTCTCCTTTGTAGTTTGACTGTGGTATTCTGCATAAAGATAAAAGCAAAAGATCAATAGATGTTTGTTAAATGAGGATTTCTTCATTACAAAAGTGAGAGACAGGGTGCTATGAAGTATTTCAGCTTTGAACTTCTTAATTCGAGAAATATTTACTGTTGGAAGTTTCCTTTTCAGCTCTGTGACCTGTTTTGGGAGCAAGAAAATCCACGTTTGTCCTCAGAAGGTGAAAGACTCAGAAGAAAGATTCTGGGAAAAGCAGGTGGTAGCACCCACACTACATAAAGGAAAACTGGGGGCCATTCTAGGAAAGGGGGAGATGCCTTAGGACTGAGGTGACCCAGGCAGTGAGCCTGGAAAAAGTTGGCTATGCTCCCTAGGGAAGATAGCAAGAGGGCCCCCGTGGAAATTAATGTATTTTCCTTATATGACCAGTAGAAATCATCATTGACTTTACGTCCCACTCAGGACAGACTACCTATTCTTTTTCTTCTTTTTCTTGTATAGGTAGTAGGGTCTTGCTATACTGTCCAGGCTTGAGAGTTGTAGCTCACTGCAACCTCAAATTCCTGGGCTCAAGTCATCCTCCTGCCTCACCCTCCCAAGTAGCTGGAAGTACAGGCCTATGCCGTTGCACCCAGCCCTGCCCCACTACCTAATTTCTGGGGCACAGTGCAAAATGAAAAACAATTTAAACGATTAAGAGTTTCAAGACAGCAGTGACAGCGAACATTCACCAAGTCTGGGGTCCTTCTGAGCACAAGGCCCTATGCGGCTACATGGGTCACATGCCCGGGAAGCCAGCTCTGGTCTTTCTGCCTCTCATCTAATCCGCAGCAGGCTCTGTCAGTGACATAACTAATGTGAGGCACTTTTCCCTCCCTCAGGGACCTGCATTTTGAAAACCAGGTCTCTGAATGGTTTTCCCTGTACAAATTCCATAGGAAGGTCTGGTACCTTGGCAAAGGGTGTGGGAGATATTTGGGCACTCGGATCCTTGTGTCACCTCATGCCACACAGGAGCCCCTGACTGGATGTGAAGTGCCCTCTCTGAGGTTAAAGCATAGCTCACAGAAATGGTGCTTGAGAGAGGTGTGCTCGGGGCAGAGGGAATAAAAGTAACAGGAGGAACTGAGGACAAGGGCACTTCAAGAAGGAAGAGGGCCACCCGTAGGTCCTGCCTAGCGCTGTGTCCTCAGAAAAGCAACCTGGAGAGAGCTGCAGAGGCAGGAGCCGTGTCCTCAGCCAAGCTCTCTGCTTGCTGGGCTCTCTGCTTGAGTAAACAGCCTGGATTGCCAGATTCCTCATCTGCAAAGTAAGGACAATAGTAAGACCTGGCTTCCTGGGCTTTGGGGAGGATCATTTGAGACAGTGGAGAGGGAGAGCTCTGCAGAACCCAAGCAGCGATGACTTGGTAAAAAGCAGAAAAAGACCCTTCTCTTTTAAGAGCAACCAAGCCAACTGCCATTTTTGAATTAAGGCAATGGTTCTATTCCAAAACCATTAGGTGAAGTGGGGCCTTTTATTAGAGTGATCACAGTCTAATCCAATCAGGCCCCTGTGCCAGCAAATAAACAACGGCAGTCATCATTCCTTCCCCCTCCAGGAAGGCCAGCAGGGGCAGCTGAGACAGGAAGGAGCCAAGCCCTTGCTGGCGCTACTCATACGGGGGTTACTAATGCCGCCACAAGCCCAAGACGATGTGATGAACCCCAAGGTAGAAAGGAGGAAAAGGTCAGCTCAAGCTCAGAGTGGTGAAGCAACTGACTCAAGATTACACAGCTAGGGAGTGGCTGCTGAAGTCAAGATTCAAACCTAGGTCTAACCTAGTACCAAGGTTAATGTAACAATACATTAACCTTGGTACTACTGACATTTTAGGCTGATAACTCTTTGTTGTCAGGGGGTGTCCTGGGCACTGACAGATGTTTAGCCAAATCCCTAGCCTCTCCTCACTAATGCTAGTAGTTGCCACCCTCCCCGTACCGCCCCCTCCCGCCAGCCATGACAACTAAAAAGTGTTTCCAGATACCGCCAGGTATCCTGGGCTGGGAGGAGGGGTAGGACCAGTGATCTAGCAGAAGAATATGCACCTAGAACTTCTCCACTCCGTTGCTGGCCCCAAAGTACAGCTTTCAGCTCAAAGTAAAGAAGAATTCTCTGGAACTGGGTGCCATCTAACGATGCATTGAGGTACCCTGAGATACGGTAAGTGCCTCACCATGGGAAGCATGCAAAAAGGGGCAGCCTGGATCTGATTCTAAATTAGAAATACTCTGACTTTCTCAAGGGCAAGTATTGGCCTAAGTAAAACTCACACATACTGGTTTTAGAAAAAGCTCCTAAAGCCCCTCCCACAGTGCCTGGCACACAGGAGGTGCCCAATTTGTAGCTGTTGTGTTTTCTTCCTTTCTTAGTGAGCGGCACAGCCATCCCACAGCTGGCCTGGTCTGGCCCCAAAGGAATAATCCCTGATCTCTGATTTTCACCATGGCAGAGACTGCAAACCATGTCCTCCAATGTTTAGGAATAGAATGCTGTTTTTTAGCTGAGTACATGGCTGGCTGGAATACAGACTACATTTCTTAGGCTCCTTTGTAGCTGGGTGTGGCCATGCAACTAAGCTCCCCGCAGAATGTAAATGGA